CTGGATTGACTGTCTGGTTTTGTATCACACCATCTTACAGCATTGCTCTTAATTATTAAGTCCTTAAAAATACCAAGGCAGTTGTCATTTTTTTAAAAGCAAAGATCAGAAGGAAAATAGGATTTAGAGAGATAAGCACAGTAACTGCTTCAAGAACTCAGTTGGTTAAATGATATTTGCAAAAATGGTTGTGTTGTGCTCACGGTTCCTGCAGAAAAAGCCTTCCCCATCAGCGGCTGAAGTGGTTGAACTCAGGTTCAGATGGTGTTTAGCAAAGCAAAATTACCTGTCCATGGGATTCCCAAACATGAGACTGCGTCTTAGGTGCTTGTTTATGTTCTTTCTTCTAAAATGAGCAAAAAAGGTGTTACCAAGTTTTCTGCCTGGAATGACTGCTATTCAGGCCAAGACTGGTCAGGATCTAGAAAGTGTGTTTAAAAGGTGTTGAGGCACATTCTGATTTTTGAAGGGGACAGACTGCCAAAACCCCCTAACCTCTCCTACCCTTTCCCCCCACAAAATTTCCCTAGAATGTTGTAGCAAAAAATCCTAACATAAAAATATCCAGTAAGAGCAAACGTGAGCTCTTCAAACAGATAATACATGAAGTCAGAGTACAATTCACTTGCAGGTCCAATGAATCACTATACAAATGCCCGTTCCTCTGCTTCAGCTAGAAAAGCAGGCTAAGATGCTTGGCTCAGATGGAGACACTCGAAATTAGATGAATGAATGTTGCTCTCAGTAGCAGTTCTCGATTTTCACATTGTTTTCATTCCAACATATGTCAATTATCTCTGAAATCCCACTGGTTTATATAAGGTCAAGCCCAAAGCAAAGAACAGATGAAATAATGAGGAAGACGCGGCACGGGCACAGTGCCCCACCTTGGTTCGGTTGGCCGTAAGCAGACTCTGTAGCTGGATCTATCCATTTCAGCGCTTTCTGTGTCCAAATGCACTCATCACTATTTTTACTTCTGGTTCTGGGCTTAGGACTCTACCTGGAGTACCACGCTGAGCAAGACTGGATGGATATTCAGCATCCAGCACAAAACCCAGTTCCTAACGGAAAATCAAAGAGAGTTTCCAATACAAGGTCAGAGTTTGCTATTCGTTCTAAACTCTCCCTCCTGGCAGGGCTGCCCCATCACCAGTAAATCAAATGGGCTATCCACAGCTTCCACTCCCCTAAATATTAGTGAAGAGATGAGGGGGGAGCACTAAGTTAGCACTGAAGTCTTTTAATCCGGGGAAGCCATATGAGGAGGGAAATTACGAATATGAGATCACAAGGAAAGATAATTCACTTTGCTTAGCTTCGTTTCTCAAGGACTTCCACGAGGGTAGCAAATGCCTTTGAAATAGTTTACTTTTCTTTTCCCCCCCCTTAATATCTAAATTGGATGTCTTTCCCATCAGCCTAGCCTAGCCCTGAAGCATTCCTGAAAACGGTCGAGAGTCTGTTTATGTCTGGATTTCAGAGAAATAAATCTTAACTCAGGACCTCCTCTACTTTGCAGGAGATCTGATTTTGTGGTCCAGCCCAATAAACCTTTCCAGGCCTAAACAATGCTACACAGTTCAATTATGGGACTAAAAAAAAATAATAGGTAGAAGCTTTTCCCACCATACTCTGCCATCCCAAGAAAGCAGCCACCATTCCCTGTCTTGGGAAGGCGACAGCTACCGCTTTCTTCCACCTTTGAATGTTTCTGGCTTGATGCAGCCCTGGAGACAGGCTTTGCTGAGTATCTATTTCACTTTGCAGCCAAATTCAGCCCAGTTTTGAGACATATTTTCATAGATTGGGGCAGGTCACTGTGTCCCAGTTCGATTGCCTTTGTAACTTCCGAGAGGAACAAAACTCTGACACTCTCCTTGTAAAGAACAAGACACCGTGGTGCCTGGAGGACAAGAATATGTAACAGCAGCTAAATGCATTTCACATTTTTTTCCCCTTTTACCCTACTTTTTACCTTACATCAGGTGTATCTGAGGTTGGATGTCTGATAAAAGGGAACTTAGAGCTTTTATGACAACAGGCACTCAAACCCTGACTGGATGTAGTCCTGGGCTGACCCTGCTTGAGCAGGGGGGGTTGGACTAGATGATTTCCAGAGGTCTCTTCAACCTGAGCGATTCTGTGCTTCTGTAAAGTGACTGCCAGCATTTTACCCCAGGCCACCACTTCATCTGAACTAGTTCCCACAGCATGACGTGCTCCATCGACACACCAGGTAGAAATTGCAAAGTAAGAGAGGGACGAGACAGACTTTGAAAGCTAACCATTTGGTCAGGAGCTCAGACTCAAAAGCTAAGCCAGTACCAAGAACTCATTAAGAACAGTGGAATTCTTTGAGGGATGACGATGACGATAGCCACACCGAACAGCAACAGCAGCACACGGAATCTTATTTCCCCAAACGTCCCTCCTTGAGCCCAACGTCACAGAAATCCAACCCTTGGTTCCGAGGCTCTGCCCTCCGAAGGACGATACGAGACTGGCAGAACCACTGCCGTTAACCACAAGCAAAACGAGCAGCAGCAAAGCACGTATTTTCAGCCGTAGCAAAAGAGATGACTAGACGTGATTGTTTTATGATTGGATTGTGTCACACTTCCCTGCTTCTTCCCCTTCATTTCTGCATTTTACCTTGATGTAAAATTGCTCTTTACTCTCATTAAAAAAAATTATATATGAGATAAAAGCCTGACTTGAAGAGCATGTAATGCACACAGCCCAGTTAAAATGCTACGCTTATGAAGGAGGTACCAGGTTCTATAGCTACTGAAAATTAATTTCATTTTCCACTGCATGAACTCCTCTTGCACAAAAACATTAATCCAGTTTTTGAGGCCAAGCATGAATTCATTTTTGAAGGCAATGAGTGAAAAGTGAGATACCAAGATAAACTTCAGCTCCTCATTTGAATATTACTGTGCAGGAATAGATTACAGTAAAGTAGATTACAGAGGCACTGCTCTCCCCTCCAGAAAAAGAAAAATGTCCCGACCTTGGTGAAAATGAAGGTGGATGGGCTCAGACATTTTTAGGCCGCTGTGAGCAGATATTTCAGACAGAAGTAACACTGACTGGAAAGATTGCATCTCTGCAAATAGTCCCAGCATCAGAAACCAATTATTTGTCGTTACACCTTAGTCAATTTGCCATTAATTGTATTGAAAGAAGACATTATCTTATAATTATTATGATTATACAGTCACCTTGATATTTTTAACTCAGTTGAGAGATTTCTCCAGGTTGATATAAAACACAGCTCCCTGAGTTGCCTGTTAAATTGACATCCACAAACCCAACGTGTTTCCCCGACAGCAGGGAAGGTGCAACTACATTTTTTAATCGTATTGGATACCTTGTACATACTGTAAATAAACCTCACCTCTCAGCTCGGTAGTTGTTTTTTCCTTACTGAAGGAGACTCAAGGAAACAATATTTACTCCACTCAACTTTCGACAGCTCATCTCGGAGCCCAGCTGAGCCCTCAAAGCCACGGTACGAGGGGGGCGACTGCTGCCTCTTTTACCTGCCGTTGCTGCCCAGGCAAGACTAAAGCTTCTGCCTGAACTGTGGCAGCCCACGATGCTACAGAAAACTGAAGATTAGGGAGAGAGCTGCTGCCAGCTTGTACAAACCCTTCCCCTCCTTCCTAGTCTCTTCCAGAAACTTGGAGGACACCAAGGGAAAGGTAACGAGCTCCTTTTTGTTTCTTTGTAATCTACTGCTTCTCCAAGAGAGGGAATACTGGGTTATTGATTTCCTCTCTTTGTGGCCAAAAAAGTTTTTCTTTCACAAGGAAAGCAAGAGATGCCTCCCAGATCTGACAAACAACCACAACAATACACAGCCAGGTCAACCCAGGAAACAGCCAGGTAGCCAGAAATCAAGATTGAAGCGTGAAGGCGTCTCGTTTCTTCCTCCATTTTCGGAGTATTTAGCCCTTTAGGGAGCTGAAGAAACATGATGTCTATTGTTCATTCGAACACCAGCTGCTGAGGCCTCTTTGGTTCAGCAAAAAGAATCTGCAGCAAATGATTAACCCCGCGGTATCTCCTGCACGAAGCAGTCACAGGAGGGAGGCAGGGGGGCACGGCCGTAGCAGCTGCATCCTCCAACTCCCCCATTAGCAAGTTTCCAGCCTGAGTTACTGTGGCATCATCCTCCGATGGCAAAGATGATGAAACGGTTGAACGGACTAATGAATTTTTAACCTCAGCTTTGCTCAGTGTGCCTATGCAAGCAGCAAATTCCAACTACCACAACCCTGTGTAAGTTTTGCACATAAAACCTATGTCCACTGTGGAACCAACCACAGCTCTCAATTTAGGAGAGTCTAATCTCAGAAACCGATATTCAAATGTTTGAAGTGAAGTTAAATAACATCGAGGCTTAGAAAAAATACAGTCTTATTTTGCAAGTGAGAGATACTTCAAATTTCCCCCTAATTTAATAACATATTTTACTAGCATGATCTAAGGATAAAATTGTTTTCCCCCACAGCTTTGGAAATCTGTTTCAACTGTAAGTCTGGAGAGTTTAATTAGGGAAGCATGTTTAGTTTAAGAAAAAAAAATTGGATGGGTTAGAAGAAAAACCCTTCTAATACTCCCTAGGGTCTATGGGTCCTTCAACCCAATTTGATGTGAATGAAACCATTATTGTTCTTTTGACTCCCGCTGAGCCATTATGTTAACGGTTTTCTAGAGATTTGACTAGCGTTTTACTACATGTTTTCGTTATTCCACTACCCAGGGTTTTAGCCCTCAGACATCAGAAGTTTCAAGGTTTAAAATAGTTTTGGTTCAACATTCTGCAAAAGCAATATCCTTTCCTTTTCACAGATTCTCACCCAAATTCCAGATTGGCACATGGTGGGTATTTGAAATTACCTAAGAAAACTGCATATCCCTCCTTTTCTCCCTTTTTAAGTATCACTTTAACATATTAAACCTGCAGCAATGAAGACTCAATCAAGCAAATGGAACTGCACACACCCACTGACAGGTATTTCCTGCCATAAAAATGCTGCACATTGGAAGGGAGGGAAGAGTCACACCCTAATAAAAGCTAACAGAGAAAACAATAAAACGGGTTAAAAGGTAATAAAAGGATTATTATCAAGCTATATAGACTAAACCAAACCTTTAGGTGATACTTTACTACATTAAAATGTGAGCTTGGACGATCCAGCTGGTGTTTTAGCTGCTTTAGAGCCAAAATACTAACTTTTTTTAAAGCCCTGTGTGCACAGCTATAGACTAGACGCTTGCTGTACAACCTCCCTGAAATCAAGTTGCTTTTAAGTAACTTGTGGAAAATCTCTATGCTATATCATTCCAAACCCAATTTGCCACGTTGGCTCAAATAAAGAAAATAGGCTTCAGTGGTTAACACTTACAATACTTTCTTTGAAACTGCCCCAGTGTGAGACCGAAGTAAAGAGTGGACAGTTTGAGATCCAGTGCTCTTAGGGGCTTCCGTTCCTGGGATAACTCGATTAAACAAACGGAGCAGGTAAGTGTAATTTTCTTGAGAAAACCAGAACTGGTGAGCTGTAAGCTCTGGTGTTCTCCAGAAGACACCTGAAGGAAGATTCTATACAAACATTTCTGAGACATGCATAGGCTGCTCTAAAAGAAACACGAACCCCTCTAGGCTAATCAAAGCAACAAAACTGTTACAGATGAACAACAAAAACTAGAAAAAGCAGTCATCAGGCTGATGACCACTCAGTTTAAATCCCAAAATTCCTTCAGAGCAAAACTTCTAACACATCTCTAATGACCAAAAATAAACTCCTCAAGTCCTCTTCCTGAAGTTGGTCAGAAATAGCAGCTATATACCCTGTATAGGGCCCGTACAGCCCAGAAACTCCACAAACAAGGCAGCTGATGCAAGCCTCCAATTTCCCAGTCATACCTAGTCTTCCAGGAGGCCTAAGGCACTACCAAAGTAATGTGAGCACGGCAAGAACCTTCCCTCGTAGGAATAGCAGCACTTTCTGTTAGGGACAATAAATAAGTCTTAACATATCCCCTCGTTACCCATTTTCTGCACTCCTGAATATGTCACATCGGTTTCCTCACCTGATAGGGACACGGGATGTGATATTCTCTGCAGCGCTCTTGAATCCACGTCGTCTCCCACACGCCTCGGTAAGCCTGCTCATAGAAATAGCAGCCAATTACAACCAAGAGCGGCACGAGGTACAGAACACTGAACACGCCAATCCGGATCATGAACTTCACTAGTTTGTCCTGGTTCTCTTTTTCTAACGGGATTTCAATGCGAACCCGATTGAGAGAGATAATGCCAGCTAGCAGGAGGGAAACTCCAACCACCACATACAGGCAGAGAGGGGCAAGTACAAAGTATCTTAATGCATCCACATCATAGAGGCCAACAAAACATACGCCGCTAATATTGTCACCTTCAATTTTATTCATGGCTAAGAGGATGATGGTCAGAGTTCCTGGAATGCCCCAGGCACTGGCGTGGAAGAGCAACGCTTTCTTCTCGATTGCTTCACTGCCCCATTTTGGCACAGCTGCCAAGAACCACGTGATGGTAAGAATGACCCACCAAACGCTGCCAGCCATGGTAAAGAAATAGAGCACCATGAAAAGCATGGTGCAAGCTTTGTTGTGAGAGCCCTGTGTCACCGTGGAAGCCTTGTACTGGGCAGGGCTGGATGCATTACACGCTACTCGGTCTTCAAGCAGAAAGCCAATGAAGAAAATTAGCGACACCATCATGTAACAGACAGCATAAAATATTATCGGTCTCTCTGGATAGCGAAATCTTGTGACATCGATCAGAAAAGTTAAAAAAGTAAACAAGGTGGCAGAAAGGCAGACGATGGAGATCACTCCGATGAAGTAGCGAGCAAAAGAGAGCTCTTCACGCCGAAAGTACATATTTGGGCAAGGAGGGGAACAGTCCCGTACCCTCAGGAAAGAGTAACCCAGATCAGGGTCTATTTTCAACTCCCGAGGACACCAAAAACCGTAATCCCTCTGTACTGCCATTGGGGCCTCTTCTGTGGGCTCCCCAGCTAAATTGAGGTCAACGAGGCGAGGATACGGCTCATCACAATCTGGGAATCTGAAAAGCAAGAAAAAGATTTATTTACAAGGAATATATAAATTGCAAAGACTAGTAACCTTATTTCTCTGTCTGACTTTGGACAACCTAACTGGAGCAAAACCAAAGACAAGCCAAAGAATGGGTAACCCGTGAAATACTGCACTATGGGTGAACAGGCTCTGGAATTCGCTATCCCAGAATGCAGCAGATGGTGAAAATATGAAATAGGTTTAAAAATAAATGGACGAGAGAAATAAATGGACAAGGGGCCCATTGGGGCTTTAAGCATAAAGATGAGGATACAAACTCCATCTCAGGAAGTCTATAAATTTAGGCTTACTGTAAACTGAGACTATGTGCTCACAGAAGCATGATCTTATAGAACATGTTAAAACCTTTCCCTAAGCAACTGGGCTAGCTGCTATCAGACAGGGCGGTGAGCTAGTTAGATCAAAAGTCCAACCCAGCACTGCTACCAGCATTAATAAATGGAAATTATGATGAAGATATTTTTGTAATTAAATAAAGCTCTCCCTGGAGGCTAAGGACTGCTGGAGGTGCAGTCTGAAGTTCTGAAGGAGAGACTGGAGGGATTCCACACCTAGCTGTCCAGGTCTTCCCTCTGCTAGATGTTATCACCTCAGCAAGCGCAGCGTAAGCTAAGTGCGCCTGTTCCTCTGGCACAGCTCGCGTTCTGGCACGATGGCACTAACACAGCATCAGCAAAGTTCAAGCAGTTTTAGGTCTGGTTTTGAAATTTCACTACCTGGGCCTTACTGAGGAGAAGGGAGGACCTAACAGGCCCAGGCATCTGTCCGGAGTATCTCAGAGCCACCTTTGATCCAGATTATCAGGACCTGGAAGCATCCTCTGTCTTACTCTTTTGCTAAAAGAAGTTTTAATTGGTTCTCTCTCTCTCCAATCCAACTGTAAGCAAGACTATTTCTTCCTGTCTGTGCTCCTGTATTTTATTAGCTGTCGGAGTCACTCATTAAAAAAATGAAGCATATTGTTTTCAGTTTCGTGTATATTCTGTTTCAAATAGACTGGAACATCATCAAATACTTTTTTATAGTTATTTGTGTAATGTAAAGCTGAAAACATCTGCTTGCACACAACTCAACAAGAGGTAGATGCTCTGAAAACAGAGCTTTAGGACTTCATACACTCATCAAAACCAGTCAGCTCCCCCTTCAGAGAAAGGGGCTATTAATCTCTCACGTACATAATTTTTCCTGACTCTCAGAGAAATTTATAGCAGTGTCACCTATTAAATTTTGGTATAGCAGACAAAATCAGGTCAGCACAAATGACAAAGGAAAATAGATGGGTAGATGCATTCATTTAAGAGTATGTGTGTGCAGGTTACAGCAGCTGCCCACAGAAATTTTCAACTGATCTCTTGGGCAGATGATAGAAATATGAACTTGGTTTCCACCTCAGGAAACAGGTTGTTGCACAAATGGGAGGGAAAATACGGGCACTTGTAATGGAACACATTTAAAACGTCTGTTTCAGACCATAAAACATCCTAGATCATACTAAAATTTTACCCCGGGATTTAAAAAAAAACCCCAGATTTGCTCACCTTGTGCACTCCATATCCTCAGGCCAAGAGACCCCAAACATCTCCATGAGTTTGGAGCACTCACTGTACGCTCTTTGACAGAGTCTGCGACAAGGGAGCGTGACACGGCCGTACTCCATGCACACAGGAGCGTAGAGGGCACACAGAAATGGTCGAAAATCCCTGGAGCATTCCAGATTCACCATCGGATGAAAGGGCTAGAAAGGAAAAAGAAGAACTCAATAGCTGCAAACAGCGGTGTCGCAGAACACTTCAGCATGAAGATGTAATTTGCCTCATGTGGTGCTAGGGCTTCCACAACCATAACCACAACCTTCTTTTTCTGAACTTTGTTGGGAGAAGTGACCATCATAAGACAGCACTTTGGTATTTGAGGAAGGCAGGTATCCGAGAACCCTGGGGACAAAGGCAAAGATTCACAAGGGACATTGATGTACTCGATTTGCATTAAAATCAAGGGGAATTAGACACCTAAACACCTGAGGGTTCAGGCTTAGCTTCACTCTCCAATAACACTCCCAGAAACTTGATTCCTTTCAGCGCTTGTGCAGCCCACAGACACATCACCCACTGCTAGCTGCTTGTTTAGCAGGGTGGCATGAAAAGCTTGCATTCGGTGGGTGAGATTACAACCTGAGGAATGTTAGCTGATGCAAGATTCCGTGGTAGTACAGAAATATAGCATTCTGTGATCTTTCACACAGTCTTTTCAGATCACGACATAACAATTGTAAATAATCTCTTTCTTGAATTTCTTCAGCAGGGCAGCGTTCTTCATTTCTTTCTACAAAATGCAAACACGGGACATTTTCCATTGCGTTCTTCCCACAGCATCTTGTCCAACTGAAGAGAACCCATCTGTTAAAATCTCAGTTCTACCATCAGTGTATCTGCAGACAGGACACAATCCCAATGGGCACGTTCTTAAGAGTGGAACCACAGAATACTGAAACACAGGAGGACTTACAACTCTAGAATAAAACAGAACCGCATACGAATGCTACCTCCAGACTGGAGAAACAGCAGTGACATTTTCGCAAGCCACTTCTTTTCCTTGACTTTTATTTCAAATCATAGCTTGAAAGGAAAAGGTGACATCTGCTTAATCAATGGCAACACTAACATGAGCTTTCTTCTAGACAGTTTTATTCAAAGTCCATTATCTTGGCACCAGCGCTTCCTCTTCTCCACAGCCCAGCAGGGTTATAGAGCAAGAAGTCTAATGCTCAGAATTTGTGCTGCAATAGCAGAAACACAAACGAACCTGCTATATAGACATACATATACACACAAACCCCCTAAATCTTACAACTGAAGCTGAAGAGCAGGCTCTAGAAAAATTACATTTTCAGACAGCAATTTCCTGAGAAGTATTTTAAACCAATTCAACATTTTCTTTTTCCAAACCACAGAACAGAACAGACCCAACAACAAAAAACAGGTCATCTTCTGTGGCAACATAAATGGCAATTACTAGAAATGATGAGGAAAAGTTGCACATTTCAGCTCTCCCTATCACCTCCTTACTCTTCCAATTCTCATATACCTCCTTTGCTCTGCAAAAGGTTAATTTTTGGCATACAAGACACAGCGATGCTGTGATTGTATTGACTTTTTAAAACAACAATTATTGTTTACCAAGCTGATTAAATTCTCTTCAGTGCTATGTGTTTTTGAAAATGTTGCTACATGACAACAGAACCGTGCGATTTGGCAACAGCCTGTGTGAAGAGCAGTGTAAGCCTTCAGAGCTACTGACAAGGAAGAAGGAAGGAACTAAAGTTACTCAAGGAACACTTTCTATTTGGCTGGACATTTACTTCAGATGCAGATATGTTTTTATTTTTAAATAGTTATTGCCTATAACACATGTACCCATACCTAAATTTCACATTCTCCTGACAAATGCTCTATCCTCTCCTCTGATACACCTTCCATTAAGAAAAGATCCTTCAGAAATTTCTCTTTTCCTGCTATTTCCCCTTCATTAAAAGATCGGTTTGCTGGTGGTTGATTTGCAGAGAGCTGTACCGTTTAGGAAGATCCCAGACTATCTCCAGGTGTGCACGTAAGAAAACTGGGCAGAGGTCCAGGTCGTGGCTACTGCAAAGCAAAGGCAAAGCAGGAAAGCAAGTTCAAGGGAGCAGAAAGGTACCGGTATTTCCCTGGAGCCTGTTGATCCTGCTGCGGGCAGGTGGCTGTTGCAATGGCTTTCAGCCAGCTCCACAGGACACTGGGCAACGGTGTCCGAGGGAATATTGGAACTGAGACAGGAAACATCCAAATATGGGGATGCAGGTGGTGCTCTTTGGCAATGGCTCCAGGGTCTGGAAGTGTGTTCCCTGGCTGTCCCTTCCCTGGCTGTCCCCTCCAGCAGCCGGTGGGCTACGTTACAGGGTGCTCCAACACACAGGACGTGAGACAGCTGCCTAAACCCCGTCTTCTCCTGCTATCTCAGAGGCCATTTATTTTCCAAGACATCCACACGGGCCTGGACAATCAGGCACAAGATCTGTCCTCTCTTGGGCCTGACAGATATGACACAAGGTCTCTGCAGAGACCCACTCCCTTCTGGCACGGCAGCTGGAGGCTGGGTTGAAGACGCTGAAACATCTGAAGTAACACCGGTTTAACTGAACCGTCCCTGACAAAGTCCCCCAGAGGGCACGTGAGCTTCGCTAGGGGTTCTTTCGAGCTGCAGAAAACAAGCCTGGTTCAGAGCATGGCCTCGGCATACTCCTCCAGTTGAATAGGACTGGTCCCCCAGTGCTGGCTGTTCTGCTTCTCAGCAACTCCAGGCCGCTCTCACAACAGTCTGTCTCTCAAAATAGCGATTGCAGGCAGACAGAAACTCTCTTCAGTTTATTTTAAAACCACAAAGTGGCTAAGCTAGACAACAGAAGAAGAAAACACCGTACAACCACTCCTCGTAATGCAGAAAAAGAGACTTACTGGCTTTCAACCAGCAGCAGCAGCATTTGTGCCTGTAAGCAGCCCAGTCGGTGAGCAGCCTATCTCTAAAATTATCTTACCGCGCTGCACCTCCTAACATGAAAAGTCACTTCCACCTGCTGATTATGTTGTTCACTATTAAAAGCAAAGCCAGGGAGATTAAAACACTTTTTTTATGCTCTTGCCCAAGGACGCCGTGCAAGTTGTGCCATTTAGTCTCAACATCTGGTGCCAACAAAAGGCTCTCTGTTGAAACGGGACGGGCTTTTGAAGAATGCCTGTTGAACAACACAATGTCCAAAGGAAAAAGGAAGAGGACAGGGACACGAGAAGACGGGATAGCCAAACTGATTTCAACAATTCAGGCCAAGTCCTGTGAAATTCAAGAAAGGGAAGAGCTAAATGTCTAAGAAGAGATAAACACTTCTTCGCTCCTGAAGGTACTTAAGTATTTAAAATATGCCAGATCACATAACTGTATAATAGATCTACAGTCATACACCCACTGGTCCTTCCACCCCTGAGAATAATCTCTGTGACCATGCAAATTCCTTCAAACCCAGTGATAACAGCACTGTTAGAACTTGACTTTATTCAGGCTGAGTCAGGCCGCTCTCATCCCTCCTTTGCTCTGCCATGCAGGTGCTGTGTATCAAATAACACACGCCACAACCACATATCACTGCTTTCCTCAGAGCAGTCCAACTCGCACTACAACCCTATCCATCTCTTCTTTCCCTCTTCCCCAAAATTTTCTTTGCTGGCAGCAAACTTGCTTTAAGAAATTTCCCAATTCGCAGCAGTGTGGCCCCAGCTCCTTCCCTCCCTACAGTTCCTATCTGCTGAAAATGTTTTAATGGCTGTGTTTTAACAGAGAGTGAAAGTTTCCTGCTTGCCTTGGGTTTTCTTTTCACTTTTTTTTTTTTCAGGAGGGGTTGAAAGACAAAGGAGAGATGGAATGATATGCATAGATTTCTCCCCAAATCATTTTTTAAACAAATTCTCACTTTTGGTACAAAGCAAGAGCACTAACTCTAAATACACCGTGGAACTGCGTTACAGTTTCAGACTTCTCACTGAGAGATAATAAAGCAAATTGTACTTTTTGTTTTGCACAGCAGTAGCCATTTAGCTGGCTGTTATCTGGGAAGCGACATTATTGCAAGATTTAAACGAAATTATTTTGGTGATCTTCCACTATTCTGTTTCTTTGTATGTTCCCATCTTTTAACAGAAGCCTAACCAGGAAGCACTCTGCTAAACTCATAGACAGAAGGAGGGAAGTTTTCTTCCCTCAGGCTCATGGGAGAAGAGTGATGCTATGACTGTCAATTACTGTTGCAATTCTCTGGTGGCAGCAACTGCCTCGGGGTGTATCCTGTCTCAGGCCAGCCACATGATCTGCTGCTTGCTGTGGTTGAATTTAGCTTGCTAGTCATTAGGGAAAAAAATCTTGTATCTCAAAGTGCACGGGCAATAATGCTTTCTGGGCTGCTTCTCCCGAGGAGCCTCGCAGAAGCTGCCCCTAGGATTTAGCTCTGCAGCCAACTGCTGGTCAGACTGGACACGTTACGGCCTCCTGCTTTGGCTAACCACGCGGCTGCTCTGACCAAATGGCTCACATGGCTCTGACAGATCGTGAGAACGCGAGAGAGAGAGAGAGAGTGGTACGAGCGGTTTTCTTGAGAGAGTGGGAATCTCTTCTCCAGTGGCTCTGACCTGCACGCTCCTCTGAATCCTGCCAGGTTTGCTGGAGCCTACAGCCCACAGTCACACTGCTACACAAAGTTAACCTGAAAATATCGGTTGTAAGTTAATATCCTGAGCTGAACAACTGCTGTAGTACCTAAACTGCTGATGCTAACTGCAACTGAGGCTGTCCTTGAGGGTCCTGCCTTAACCTAACTGGTGCTTCCTAAAGAGGATTACAGCGTGCTCACACAGGGCAGTGATCTGGGGCACTAACTTCATCAAAAAACTATAGCTGGATTTAACAGAAAGCTACTTTTTTTCCACTCAGTTTGGCCTCGAGCTAGATAGTGCCACATACATAATGGTTGCAGAAAGGGCCAGAAACACGCGATCAGGTGTGTAAGAGTGAGTCCCTTTCTTCTGGAACCAACCCACGCTCGCTCAAGTTAACGTGACTGTGGAAGTGCAGCTTCATTGCACAGACGCTTGGTTCTGTTTTCCAAAGGCAATAGGCTCATTTGCCCCAGCCTGCTTTTAACGCACAGTGCCAAGC